GTAGAGTCGAAGAATCTTTATTTGAGGAACAAAAATTGCATAAAACAATTTTTTCCTTGGCAGAATACGGTAAAGAAATTTTATTTAAGATAAAACGCAATATGCGAATATTTGGGTGACCGAAGCGTTGATGCCACAGCCATAGAAATTTCTTGGTGGTGGCGGTAAAAGAGACAGGACGGGTGATATTAGGCCACTCATAGAGATTAGAGCCCATATTTACTCGGGTGGAACTCCCGTATTCGGGTCCTTCTCAAGAAATTTAAATGAAAAAAAAAGAATAGAGATCATACCCGTACATGAGCATGATTATGGCTTTTTAATTGGCAAAATTAGAAGCTCCTGTAAGTTGCAATGGTAATTGGGAGACTGGGTTAAATTGAACTAATTGCATAGAATTGGTTGTACAAAGTGTAGAATCACTTGATTAACCGTGGAAGGAATTAGGGGTGTGAACGAGCTGAGCTCGCCTCTTTTGGCAGGCTCGAGCTCAAGCTCGAGTCTATTTTGTCGAGCTCGAGTCTGAGCTCGAGCTGGTCTAGTTCATTCTTTTTTTGGCTCGAGCTCGAGTGCGTGCCTTTTTGTCGAGCTCAAGCTCGAGCTTGAGCCCAGCTCATTTTGTTTTTTTTTTTAAATATTTTTTTAATTATTATTTTATAATTATTATAAATTATTTAAAAAAAATTACAAAATAAAAAATAAATTGTAATTATATATATTTTTTAATTTTTATATTTTATTTTTATTTATTTCTATAATACTTTATATTATTATACATTAATTAAATAACAAATAATTTATAAAAAAATAATAAATAAATAAATAAGGCTCGCGAGCCGGCTCGTAAGCTCACGAACAACTAAAAAGTAAAAAATGGCTCAAGCTCGGCTCGTCAGAGAGCTCAAACTCGAGCTCGAAAAACTCGAGTCCGAGTTCGAGCTCTTTTCGAGCCGGCTCATTGAGTTCACGAGTCGACTCGGATCGTTAACCACCCCTAGATGGAATTGTAGAGCTAATCTCTCTCTCTCTCTGAGAGTTTGGATAATAGCAGAGATAATCACTAATCAGGACGTGATGAAAGAGTAACGGACGTGTGGCAAACATGACGCAAGCAGATTATTTGGCAATTAAAATTTTCTCCCAATTGGTTTTATCTTTTGCATCGAATTTGGGGATTGCATTGGATGTCTATTTCATATAGATACAGTCATGCAGATATAGGATTTATTTGGTTACATGGGATCTGGGATGAAAAGTTGTCGTAAGAAAAGTGTATTGCTCAATAAGTAATTTTTTAAAATTGCTGATTGTTAAAAGAAAAAAAAATTAATGTTATCAAAGCCTTTTATTTTATTTTTTTAGGAAAAACATCAATTTCATTAATTAAATAGTGCCAAAAAGGCTGGGAGGACATCTCCCTCAGTACAAGAAGAAACAGACATGGAAGCTAGATGGTGAGCTAGAATATTTCCGGACCGCTTAACAAAACTAAACTGACATGAAACAAAAGTTTTAGCAATACTGCAATAATCTTCTATGTATGCTCCAAAAGATGATTCCGTAAGTTCCCCTCCTTTGAGTGCCATAATTGATTGTAGACAATCCCCTTCTAGCTTAATTTTCGACCATCTCTTTCCCTGCGCCTTGGTTAAAGCGTGTAGGGCCGCGTGAGCTTCTCCATCAACCGACCTCGGTCTTCCCGGATATTCAGTCACTGACCACCAAATGCATTCCCCTTCCAATTTCGACCAACCATGAAGACTGAGTAGAAGTCTTAATTTACCCATAGGGAATGATGCATCGAAATTAACCTTTACCTCCTCCTCCGGTGGTGGATTCCAAACGGCTATGTGTGAGGGTCGTCGAGGTATGATAGTCAGTTGTGTTTCGCGTTGGAAGTCGACAATGAAATTCCTACACCAGCTCACAAGGTCTTCGCCTGTTAATCCGTTATCGCCATGAACAATCTTATTTCGTTGATGCCAGGCTGCCCAAGTGACGACTAAGGCAAGCAAGAATGTATTCTTCGGGAGAACCATTTGAAGATATTTAATCCATTCCCACGTGGAACCAAAGTGCTTGGACCCGTTGAGCTCGAACGGACTATTTTTCCACACCCTCTCCATGCCATTACAGACCATAAAAACATGAAGGGACGTTTCACTTTCATAACCGCATATGTTACACACCGCCGATTGAGAGATTCTTCGTCTAGTCAGTTCGGCTTGCGTGGGTAGAATCTCCAAGCAAGCTCGCCACAAAAACACCCGAATTTTTGGAGGAATGGGGAGATGCCAGAGCACGTTCCAGTTCCTATCAACTTCGCCGCTACTCGAACCCTTGCACTCAGGATTGCTGCCGCTCGTAAGCGTTTGTCCCGATATGATATTGTGGTAGCACGAGCGAACCGTAAATTTTCCAGAGCCTGAGTAATGCCATACCCACCTATCACTTGCTTCTCGGCTTCCAACTGGGATCGATAAAATTCTGCCCCGATCGATCGGCCAAAAAATTTCTTCAATAATTGGAACATCCCATGCACCTATGCTTTTATCAATAATATCAGCAACCCTGTCCGGCCATGCTGACTCAATGGGTCTTCTTGTAAACATCTTGAAACTTCCCTCGTCGACGAGCCAAGGGTCAGCCCATGGCGATGTATCCTTACCATTGCCAATCCTCCGACGAAGACCTTTCAAAAGATATGGTCTTGCCTTGATGAGACTCTGCCATGTTGCCGACGGACAATGCCCCAAGCCTGCAGTGAGTATTTCACCTTCTGGAAAATATCTCGCTTTAAGGATTTTTGAAAGAAGCAATTCCGGTTGAGTGAGAACTCTTCAGATCTGTTTTGCTACAAGCGCCAAGTTGAAGCTGCGTAAATGTCTGAAACCAATGCCTCCTTTTGCTTTCGGTAAACATAGTCGGTGCCACGCTAGCCCCACCATTTTTTGGTCACTCCCAACCGCACCAAAATTGCCGAATAGCAGCTTCTAGTTCCGAAACTAGACCAACAGGCAATATGAAGCAGCTCATGATAAAAGATGGTATTGCCTGTAGTACAGCTTTGATTAGGACCTCCTTACCCGCTTTAGATAATTGCTTTTCTCCCCACCCTTTGATTTTCGTCCATAGTCGTTCCCTCAAAAAACCAAATATTTATTTCCTTGATTTTCCAATAGACGCTGGCATTCCAAGGTATTTCTCATGTCGATCAACCTCTTGAATACCCAATCTAGTGTGAATCAGTGCCTTAACATCCGCCCGTGTAGTCGGGCTAAAACAAACTGTTGTTTTTTCATAGTTGAGATCTTGCCCTGAGATCCTAGCATATTGATTAAGGATTTCCTTCAGCTTCATAGCGTCTCCCTCCGTTGCTGACTAAAGAGAAGTGTGTCGTCCGCAAAGCATAAATTTGAGATAGTTGGCGCCGTCGGTGCAATTTTAATTCCACGGAGTTCTCCTTCTTCTACCGCTTTGTTTATCATCGAAATTAGAACTTCTGCACAACATATAAACAAATATGGGAAGACAGGGTCTCCTTGGCGAAGCCCTCGAGATGGAATAACCGACCCAAACTGAGAACCATTAAACAAAAAAACATAAGAGACGGTGGTAACACAAAGCATGATAAGTTCGACAAACTCAGATGAGAACCCAAAACGAGAAAGAATTTTCCTCAAAAAAATCCATTCGATTCGATCGTACGCTTTACTAATGTCTAGTTTAACTGCGCCATGAAATTAACTCGTTTGCTAGTTGTGGTTCTAATAAAATGGTTTACTTCGTACTACTAGGATGTTATCAGTAATGAGACGGTTAGGAACGAAAGCGGATTGAGTGAGAGAGATGATGTCACTTAAAAATCGCTTGAGCCTATTTGCAATGACCTTTGACCCAATTTTGTATACCACGTTACACAAACTAATGGGCCTATATTCCGTGATTTTTTCCGGTTTATTGGTTTTTAGAATAAGAACTATGAATGTGAAATTGAGGGATTGACCTAAGTGCTTGTTATTAAGGAAATCAAGAACACAATGTGAGACATCCGACCCTAATATATGCCAGTATTTTGTGAAAAAAACGGCAGGAAGACCGTCGGGTCCCGGAGATTTAAGAGGTGCCATTCGAGATAAAGCAAGGGTTACCTCATCGGCAGTGAAAGGAAGCGACAACATCTGATTGGCCTCAATCGGCACCCGTGGCTCTATCTGATCTAACACCATATCTATCTCTTGCTCGTCTGGGTTGGTAGTCTGGAAAAAATGATTAAAATAGCCCGAGATAATCCCCTCAATATCTTCACGTTTTTCCCTCCAAATGCCTTGACTGTCTTTCATCTTGTCCACCCGATTAATACGCTGTCGTACTGAGGCTTTGGCATTGAAAATTTTGGTATTGCGGTCTCCCTCCTTGATCCATTGGATTTTACTTCTTTGGCGCCAATCGCCAATAAAAATCAAAATCCCCGTAGAGTGTTTCTAATTTCTCCCTGAGAACTCGCATCTCTTCTCTAGTTACCTCGGTCTGGTCCATGCATGAAAGGAGATGGAGTTTCTTTTGAATTTGCTCGATCTGAATGTGAGGACATCTAATTGTAGTTTTGCTCCATTTCATCAGTGCGATTTTGCAGTCGTTATTTATGCCCAATAAATCTTCAATTTTTGAACACTCTGTATCGACTTCCCATGCACGCCGAATGATTTCTTCACAGTCCTCGCGTCGAATCCACATCGCCACAAACCGGAAAGGTCGTTTTATGGGTCGTGCTGGATGGTGTTGCTCTTCTCCAAGACTCAGCAAGATAGGGAGGTGGTCTGACCCCACACTATTAAGGTGGTGAACCCTTGCCTGGGGGAAAAGTGAAATTCCCTCATTAGTTGCACATATTCGGTCAAGGCAACATCGGACTGTGTTTGGTTGCACTCGATTGTTGATCCACGTGAATGGAAAGCCTTCAAAGGATTTGGACTTTGAAGGCTTTCGATTCACCTGGATCAAAGCCTTTTATTAGGACAACTTCTTAAGAATAATTTAGACCATTAAAATAGGTCCAATTATTTTTTCTTTTTCGAAAAGATCCATTTAGTTAGAACTTAGTACTTAGAAAGTACCTTAACTCTAATTTTTATTCCACAAATAAGACCATTTTGTTGAAATTACCATCCCAAAAGTCCTATTTCACCCTTTTTATTAAAATAGATATATACAAAACACAAATTGTTAATTTCGGGAATATGATCGGAAGAAGAATAATTCATTTTTAGTGGAGTAAATAATTGCTAATGATTAATTAAATTTATTCAATTCAAAATTGGATTTTAATTCATTATTGTAAGCTCATTTTATATTTTCTCTATATGGTCCTTATCATAGTTTAATGAATATAGTCCAATTGTGACATTAGGGATGTTATTGAAAATTCATATATAATACTATTTATTTTAACAATTTCACTATTTGATCTAATAGAATTAATCGAACATGTTGCTAACTAAATATGCGATATAAGTAAGCAAACGAAGCATTAGTGTACAAAATTAAAAGTATATCGATGTTTAAAATTAAAATTCTATTGTTATTCAAAATGAAAATCTTCTTAGTTATGAAAAAACTATTGATTAATCGTTTGATTCTTTTAAGGCTAAAAAGAACTCTGAGCCCAAAAGTCTATGCTAATTTGTACATTGTTCTTGAACTTAATTATTGTTGCACCGTGCCTCTGAGTTACTATTTTTATTCAAATTTTGAATAAGCTCTAATTATTAGTGACAAACATATCCATATCTTTTTTTTTTTTTTTTTTTGAGTAATTCAAGTCATTACAAGGGGAAGTAGGGGAGGGGGGACTCGAACCCTAGACCTTTTACCCTATTGGTAAGGCTAGGTACCAACTCTCCTAATGAGGTAAAGTGCGAATAATCACATAGTTTAAGGAAAATGCCATACGTACACATTCTAAAATTATTAAGGGACCCAGTAAAACAAATATTAGTTGAGTTCAAGAAAATCTTACACAAAACAAAATTGCTTAGGGGCCAACAAGAAAATGGACATATAATTAATTCATGAGGTTTTCTTTATAGGAAAAATGGGGAGACCTCTCTTTTGGAAAAATCATGTGAGATAAAACCTTCCTAAAAAAATAATTTGAGAAAACCTATCTTTAATATAAGCATCCTCACAATTTTAAGTACCCAATATACTCTTCCATAAACCTACTATTGTTATTATGGGCAAATTACAGCCACCCCTGATGTATGATCAAATTATGAAAAAACCCCTCTTGTTTGGATAATTACAGCCACCCCCTCCTTTTAAATATTTTTACGTAAAATTTATGTAATTTGGTTATTTACCGAACCAAATCGTATATTTAGTTCGGTAAACGGTATGAAATGTTGGCGTACCGAAATTTTGGTCCGATTTTACTGAATTAACATCCCTAATTTTACCTCTAGAGGGGTCTTTTCGTAAGATAAATACATAGTTGAGGGGGTGGCTGTAATTACCCTAACAGGAGGGGGGTTTTCATAATTTGACCATAGCTCAGGGGTGGCCGTAATTTGCCCTTGTTATTATTTTCTCTCTTGATTTTATTAAAAGTGGATTGTTTTTAATTATGCTTTTTGATTATTGTTTTTAGTTCTTATATGTTAGGGATTATATGCAGAGGAATCAATTTTTTTGACAGTATTTTGAGAAATTATTAAATTGTAAAGTAAACACGACTTCCATCTTTGATTTGTTAAAAAAAAAATGGGAAACGGGTGAGGGGAGGGGCATGATGAACGTGGGTTGTGGCGGTTTTGTATAAAATTAGATAGACACATGTTCATTTATTGTTCTGAAAATATTACAGTTCTAAATGTTATATCTTTCAAGCATAATCGTTGGTACAATATGTCCCAGAAGTTATGATCAGTTAGACACAACCAAGGGCCGGGTTAGACCGGACCCAACCCGAGGACCGCCCCGCTCGCCCGGACCCACCAATGTATGGGTCAGTTTCGGGTTTTGATTTTTGGACCCGAGACCCGACGGTGGGACCCGAGTACCCATAGGGTCCACCCGAAGTTTATGTTAAATGTCACTAAAGGTCGAGGACTGCCCCGCTCGCCCGCAAATGTATGGGTCGGTTTCGGGTTTTGATTTTTTGGACCCGAGACCCGGGGGTGGGACCGAGTACCCATAGGGTCCACCCGAAAAGGTCGAGGACTGCCCCGCTCGCCCGGACCCGCAAATGTATGGGTCGGTTTCGGGTCTTGATTTTTTGGACCCGAGTACCCATAGGGTCAACCCGAAGTTTATGTTAAATGTCACTAAAAATGCTAGGTTTGGACTTGATCCCGGGTTACACGAGTAGTTTAATAGGGTACTAACCGCTCGAGCAAAGTAACTTGTTGTAATATTTCTAACTAACCGCTCGAGCAAAGTAACTTATTGTAATATTTCTAACTATAAACCTA